CAGGCATCTGCAGGCACCCAGCAACGTGAATTGTGGCTGGGAAAATCTCTCATGTAAATAGGCAGCACGGAGGGAGAAGGGGCATTAGCGTAGCGTTAGGGGGGGTGGAATGTGCAGGAAAGAGGGACAAGAATTGATGAGCAGCTTTGGAGGAGATGCATTCTCTGGGGCAAGACTGAAAGCTGATGAGTGGCTGGAAGACCTGCTTATGGCAGGGAGGGTGCTCCCAAAGGTGAGGCAGCATCCAGCTGCTGCCAGATGTTCTTAGGGTGGTGGCTATGTCTGCATTGCTCTGTTGGCCTATGGGGCAATAGCCTTAGACTGTGGGAGATCCCAGGGAGGTTCTTGCCTGGTGTGTTTGTTGGGAACGTGCTGGATGGATAGGGCTCTGTCTTACCCTGGAGGACATGGAAGTCACCTCCTGGAGCCACTGTGTCCCCAGCACTGCTTCCCGAACACCCTGAGACTTCAAGGATGCTTTGCATTAGGGCGTTCTTCAGCTTTGTCCTCTTTCTAACACAAAAGTGAAGCCCCAGGGCTGTTATCTCCTTGTGGTATTTTCAGCCCAGCCTGCGGTGCATCGCCAGCTTTCATTTTAATTAAGGCAAACCTCAGCATCATCAGCTGACTTGCTTATGTCTCACCTCTGGCTTCACCCGCCGTCTTCTCCTCCCCTGTGGTGAGAGGGGCATTCAGTCTTGATGTGAGGCAGCAAAAACAAGACGTCTTCCCTCCTCGACTCATTAATTAAAGCCACAAATTGAGCTCTTCTCTTGCAATCTGAAGTGATCACATAAATAGCATTGACAGAACAAAATTAACATCTGAAAAAATCCTGCAGGGTCAGCACGTCAGGGGTGTGGGGGGAGGGGGCATTAAAAACAAGATGCTGTTCTGCTCACCTCCAGCACAGAGCTCAGCCTGGACATGGAAGAAGTCACGAAGTGTAGGCAGCGCAAGACCTCTACTTTCTACAGCCAAGCCTGGAAGGTAAATGGAGGAACTGATCTAGGTGGAGTGGCTGCTCCTTCTCAAGACCATGTACAGCCCTGCAGACGTGCCTGGGGGAAGAGCTGGGTTTAGCCATGTGGACCTGGACTGTTTCAACCCAAGGAGTGGAATGTGGACCATCTCAGCCCCAAGGAGTGTGAAGGCACAGTGGGAATGCCAGCAATCAGTGCCAGGGAAAAGCGAGAGGACTGGGAGAAGGGTCCTGGTCTCCTCCCAGGTCTTCATCTCTGTCACCAGCCATGCCATCACAGCCGTTGCTCCTCATCACCTTATGAGAAATCAGCAAAACTCCAGAGTGCATCTGCATGTAGAGTGCCAGGATCCCTTGTGATTAATGGTTTTTTTGGTGTGTTTTGCATCCTCCTGTGCTGGGAGGTGTCTGCAGGAAGCCTCGTGTGGGGCTTGCCCTTGTTCCTGGGCACATTTCTCACCTGGTCCTTGCTTTGCACGTGGTTGCATTGGCAGAGACATGATGGGAACGCTCTGGAAACGCTGCATTGTGGTCACGTTGAGATCTCTGCATCATGGGTGCATGCAAAAATATCTGCCCCCAGCCTGAGAGGGCAGTTGAAGTGGCCCCTACTGCTCATCACAAACTGCCAGCATTTAATCCCTTTGCCTCAGTGCATTTGTGGTTGCGTTCCAAAAGCAAATTCATCAGGACTCATTCATCTGAATGAGTGTCCGTGGGGATGATTGCAGGCTGTGTCCATTCTGAAATAGTATGGGAAGAAGGGGAGAGTAACTCCCTCCATCGGGAACCCACAGTGCCTGCTGACTGTCCTGGCAGGAGCATGGGGATGTGTAATGAGAGCTCTGCTCCTTGCTGAAAGGGCATGGGGCACTGTCAGGAGCTGCAGTGAAGGCAACAGGCTTAGTTTTCGTGCAAGATACTCTTTTGGGCAAACCCAAATATCACAGCTGGCCTGAAGTGATTCACTTAACATTTTCCTTCCTTTTTATGGCTTGTCTGCACACGCAAAGCTAAATCCAGAGCTGCTGCAAGCCCAGTAAAACCCACAGCACAGGCAGCATCCACACGACACCACGCTGGAGAGCTTCAAACCCACACCCAGACAGCTTGTGGAATCCCAGCTGGACACTTCCCTGTACAACCTGCTGTCACAGGGGTTGGCCTTGAGCATTTCCAGAGCATTTCCTTGAGCATTTCCTGAACTGGGAGGTGAGTTCAGTGGCACAACGTTGTGCCGTCACCCCAGTATCCAGTCTGAGGCATAAGGGTTGCAAAACTCACTGTCACTGTTCCCATAAACCAAAACAGCCCTTTTTGTTTTTTCTCTTTGTGCTACATCTCTCCCATCAAAACAACGCCTGAACTTCTGTGCTATATCACCATAAAAATCTTGACAGCTGTTCTAGCAAACAGCCTGGAGTGCCGCGGTCTTTTATGAGTATTAATTATGTTAAGCAAAGCAGATCTCACAATTACATTGTCTGTGGGAGCAGCAAACTTTTACCATCCGTCTCCCTGAGCAAGGAGGTGAATGGCTGTTTGCTGCCCTGCTTTCAAAGTGGTGGGGGCTGCAGCTGCTGTTAGGGAGAACACGATGACAGCCCAAAGAAGCTCCTTGTTCCTCCTGCTGTTACCACAAATAACTTTCTTGATGTGCTTGACATGTCATCAAGTGCTCCTGAGCGGCCTCTTCTTTTGAATAATAATAAAGAACCACATTGCTGGTCTAGTCTGGATGCAATATGTGCTACCAGCAGTTTTGAAAAGCCAGGATCTACATGTGGATCCAAGCTGGGAGAGGTTAGATGGGGAAAAAATGGGACGGCTGGCAACCGTTGTGCTGGGAAGGAGGGTTTGGGGTTGTTGATTAAAAGAAAGGGAGGGTAGAAATGTTGCTTTTTGGTTAGGGGGGAATGGCAGAGCTAGCTGTGATGAGCAGAAGGAAAGAGTTCGGTGACCGTTGGTGGCAATTTTGAGATCATCCACCGCTGCCTCCTCTTCCTCTGACTTAGCCAAGATGCTGTGGTTTTTCCCTTTCCCAGCCCCTCTGAGAGAAGGGCAGCATCCTAAGGAGGTCCTTGACAGGTCCTTTCTGGATCAGTAGGTCAAGAGGTCAGAGGTGCAAGTTACTCATGTTTTATCACCATTATGCAGACAACCTGTGTCCTTGGCTGAGACAGGCAGATCCAACCCCAAAGCAAGTGGTCTGGGGAGCTCAGAGGTGATGCTTTCAATACATCCTCCTCATCAGCCTCCCCTTTGTATCACAGCTGTTCATGAATCCTGGGCTGGCTGCTGGAAGGCTGGAGGACTTCACCCACACCGAATTGACTGTTGGCACTGTAGATCTGCCGTGGTTATGCTGCAGGAGAGAGATCTGTTTGGAAATGCATGTCAGTGTTGGATCAGCGTTGGATGCTCAGATGATGTGATTAACAGGACGCTGCAGGGCAGCAACAGAGAAAACAATCTTCCTCTTTCCTTGTCACCCTAATTTTCAGAGGAAGTGTTTTGTTTAAATGTAGGGTTTTTTCTCCGGGAGAGCAGAGCAGGCTGTTGTTTGGAGCCTGCCCATCCTCACATCCCTGACGCTGGCAAGTGACCAGAATGTCCCATCAAAGAGGTGCAGACACATACTGCAGCTTTAAATACAGCCAGCTGCAATTATTGGCCTTTCCATTGCATTTGACCCAGACTTTTAGCAGCAGAAAATGAGCCTACCTGATGGAGGAGCCTGCTCGGATGTCATAACACAGCAGCATCCATCAGGCTTCATGAAGCAGAGAATTAACATCTGTTGGAACTGCAGCAGCAGCACAGCCAGACACCCTGAAGACATGGGGAGAAATGACAGTTTTGAGGGGTTGCTGGAAAACAACGCAGCTGAGTGCTCAGCTATTGCAAAGGAGTCTTCCTGCAAGACCAAAACAGGGTTAGGTCCCTCCTTGCACTTCCCAGGTCAAATAAGGAAGAATAATTGCAGTGAAAAAATGGGATGCTTAACCGATACCACCGAGCGCTGTGTTTATCAGCAGATAACATGCAACGCAGGGGTCTTGAGAACAATAAAATACATTTGATCCCCTGGCGTTTATGGCCTGGAGGATGAGTGAGGAAGCCTCGTGTGGCCAGCAGAGGCTGACCTGCCTGCAGCTGTGATACAAGGTTTACCAAGAAATGCCAAATTCTGGTGCAGGCATCATCAGGGACTTATTCCTCGGGCTGTTGTAATGGCTTTGTTAACTTGAACGTGAAGGAGCTGAGGTAAAACGGAAGAGGCATTTATTAAAGGGGGGGAGGTCACTTAAACATGGACAAAATTCAGGCAACACCACTCACCACTCATCTTTCAAGTGCTTCCCATGCACGAGGAGAACAGATTAAAAATCATGGCCTGCCAAGGAGTGACATTTTGGAGCAATAATTTAAGCCACCGGGCACTGCAGCGTGTTCTTGCTTCCTTGATACTTTGTGTGTGACCACCCCAATTTGCTGGCGCTGGTGTTAATTCATGATATCGTAGAATCGTAGAATCCTAGAATCACAGAAGGTTGGTTGGTTTAGGAGAGTCCTCAAAGCCCACCAGCCTCAACCCCTGCCATGGGTAGGGATACCTCCCACAGATCAGGCTGCCCACAGCCCCATCCAGCCTGGCCTTGAGCAGTGCCAGGGACAGGGCAGCCACAGCTTCCCTGGGCAGCCTGTTCGGTCTTATCTGGGAGATGAGTTGATTTGGTGCACCCGATGCCATAAATCACCTGTGTCTTCCAGCACTGGGGCTCAGGATGCAGGATGAGTGGGCTCTGGTCCTGTCCATCAGCACGGGATCACCGGGTTACAGCAGCAATGCTTGTCCTCGCGGTCTTGAAGCCAAACCTTGGGATACAGTGGCACTAAATGAATGCGCAGCAAAAAAAGGGAGATAAACCAACTTCATTGAATTAAATATATAAAATAATAATAATAATAATGAGGAACATGTATTCATTTCTACAATGTGCCTGTGTTCCCACAG